TAAAGATTAACCAATAAATAATAATAATAATAATAATAATAATAATAATAATAATAATAATAATAATAATAATAATAATAATTTTATTTCTATACCGCCCTTCTCCCGAAGGACTCAGGGCGGTGTACAGCCTATTTAAAAACACAGACAAAACAACAATATAAAATTTAAAATAATTAAATAAAGTGGCTCAGATTTAAAACCCCAATAAATTTAAATACCCCAATTTAAAACTATTGTGTTGATAGTCCGGCCTGGCGGAACAACAGGGTCTTCAATGCGCAGCGAAACACCCGGTCGGAGATCTTACGAATTTCCGGGGGCAGTTCGTTCCATAGGGCTGGGGCTCCCACAGAGAAGGCCCTCCCCCTGGGCGTCGCCAGCCGACATAACTTGGCTGATGGCACCCTGAGGAGACCCTCTCTGTGGGAACGGACTGGTCCGTTTATGTGACCCTAACCACCAAGTGATTGCTATGCCTGATACAGATGGAATGAAGGTTGCTTTAAAACGAAATGTGAATATTATGGTCCAGAAAGGACATTTTTTTACTTCCAGATCCTCTTTTTCAAATATAATTTGAAAAATCATAGCAATTGGCCATTGTGATTATTCATAGAATTCTTTTGCTGTTATCCATTCATTATCAACTTGATTTTTTCTTTACCGTGACAACTCAGTACAAACGGAATGAAGATGACTTCCTCAAAGCTATGCTGTGCAATAGAAATATATGTCAAAGTGGTATTTTTTCACCATCTTTAGGAATTAGTGCTCATTCTCCATAGTTGACACTGCCCCTAAATATTTATGTAAGATGAGGAATTGTTATTTTCTAATTTAAAAGGATTACAGATGATATTATTGATAATGGCCTGCTAAAATCTGCCTTTTAATTTTGCAAAAGTTGTCTTCTACAGTACAATGGCTTTTAGTATTATAATCCTTCCCTGGAATCTGAGTTTCTATTATTGCCCTAGGGCAGTGATGGCTAACCTTTTTGTTGTTGCGTGCCAAAAGCGTGCACATGCAAAAGCATGCCTGTGTGCCGGCACCCATAATGCAATCTGCACGCCCCCCCCACATGCCCCATTCCTCTGCACATGCATTCATGACCCCCCTTGCGCTCATCCCCACCCCCACGCATGTGCACACAAACCCTCCGCACCCATTTTGGGCCTAGTAGGCCTCACTTCAGCTACCTGGGCACATAAATGGGCCACAGGGGGGCACGCCACACACACCCCATGCCCCTTTTTGGGCCTAGCAGATCTCCCTGCAGTCTCCTAGGATCAAAAATGGGCTGCGGGGTGTTCGCTGCACCCCCTGTGCTCCTCCTATCCCCCGCCCATGCATGCGCAAACCCCACACCCATGCACACATTTCCCGCATGCACCTCACCCCCGTGCAGAGACCTGAAAATCAACTGACCGGCAGGAGGCACGCATGCACACACGGTGGAGCTGAGCTGGGTGATGGCTTGCGTACCCGCAGAGAGGCCTCTGCGTGCCAGCTGTGGCACCCGTGCCCTAGGTTCGCCATCACAGTCCTAGTGCCTAGACAAAGTGATTAAGCCTTTATTTATTTATTTATTTATTTTATTGAATTTCTATACCGCCCTACTCCCGAAGGACTCAGGGCGGTGCACAGCCACGAAATAAAACACATAGATATACAAAATTTAAAATCGAATAAAATGAATTAAATAAATTTGGCTGAATTAATACCCATAATTTAAAATACCCATAATTTTAAAATACATTAAAAATTTAAAATTTACACTTAAAAGGGAGAAGATTTAGGCGAGGCCAGCTTGATGAAATAAAAGCGTCTTCAACTTGCGGCGGAAGGTGCGCAGATCCAGAATCCTCCGTATCTCTGGGGGGAGCTCATTCCAGATCGTCGGTGCCCCCACAGAGAAGGCTCTCCCCCTAGGGGCCGACAGCCGACATTGTTTGGCCGACGGCACCTGGAGGAGCCCCTCTCTGTGGGAGCGTACTGGTCGGTGGGAGGCTGTTGGTGGTAGTAGGCGGTCCCGTAAGTAACCAGGTCCTAAGCCATGGAGCGCTTTAAAGGTGGTAACCAGAACCTTGAAGCGCACCCGGAAGACCACCGGGAGCCAGTGCAGCTCGCGCAGGAGCTTTAGGATATTTTCATAAGAAATTATTGTTGTACTGGTATTGGCTACTCAATACCAGTAGCTAAAATTGTACGTTAAGTTCTATTTCTTGAAACTATTTATTTTTTCACCACAAAAGAAAACATAGCCATCTCTCCAAGCATGCAGAAAGCTGCCATCTGCACATAGACTCAGAAGAAATGCAAATCCAATGAATGATGACATAGCTCTCATGTTTTTTGAAGCAATGTTCCATTTAAGCACACATCAATGGAAATTTTGTACATATTAGGAAAAATGTATTCCATGAACATATTTAGTAGTCTTATGAGAAGATAATACATATTCCATGATCTTTTATAAATGACATGATAATATCCAATAATAAACTCCTTATGTATTGGAAATCATGATTCACTCCAAACTCAGTTGATTTATGAAATGCCAAAAGTATAAGCCAAATGTTAGCAGCATGGTGCTGAGAGATTAGGCAGCATTACTGCCAAACAAGCCTTCTCCAGCCAAATGACCTCCAGGGTATTTCAGGATTATAGCTTGTAGTTGCACCAAATTAAAAAAAAATCATGCCTCTTTCTACTTGTTGAGTTGCATGCATCATTAATTATGGAAGTTGCATAGTGGTCCATTTTGGAGAGTCTTTAGCCTAATTTAACTTTGAAAACACAGGAACATGAAGGAGCAGCTATATATGAGTCCTTTCACTAATGTTTGTGGTTCCCACCCACCCCCTCCATAATTGTGTAAACTGGAGGCCATGTTTAAGTTGCAAACATGGTCTTTCTTCAAAAAATATTTTGTAGGTTTTGCTACAAAGCACCCAAATTGTATATTTAAATGCAATGACTAAATATAGTCAATAAACAGATAGATGGAGGGGCAACAAAAACTAAAACATCAATTGGCACCTGGATACCATTGGACTCTACTTGCAATGAAAATGCATCAATTTGTCTTTACACAATTGTCTTCCAAAGCTGCTAAACTCAAATAACGCATATGGGAAGCTATCCATAGCTCATGTGATTTAATTGCTTCTTCATATTTAAAGATGAATCATTCTAATATGTTTAAAATAATATTTCACTTGAAATTAAATAAATAATATTTCATAAATAGGAGATAAGCCCCATTATAGTGCTTTGGATGCTCATGAAATTTTCATTTGAAAAATAAAGAATAGCTGCTTAACTAATATCAAGGATAGTATAGTAAAATATTTTTGAAAACTATCATCACCATCAGCAGTAGCCAAACACTTAAGAAACATTGCTTATCTCTTTATGGTACAACTCTCGACTGTATACAGCCACAGGACAAATTATTTTGCGATCCTCAGAATACTCTCTTACTAAAAATTAGCAGGGTGGTTTCTTGTAATTTTGAATCAGGAAGTAATGAAAATTGCATTGAGGAGCTTGAAACCCATGGTTTAGTAAAAAATTTAAAAATGTTTTAAATTATGAATACTGAACAACTTATCTAAACAGAAAATTGCTGTTCTTTTGGCTCTGTTTTTTTAGACCAGGTAAATCTTTTGTTATATTTCCTTATCCTGTTATCTTTAAAATAGATTTGAAGTAGAAATCCCATCATGGCTACTGACTATGAAAATCTTTTTAAAGAGACTTCAGCCAAGAAAATTTACTTTATTGCCAAGGCAATTCTGTCAATGCTTAGTATGTTTATCTACTATTCTGGCCCCATTGACCTGTTATCTTGCTTTATTTACAACTAGCTGATGACCTGGCACTGGCCGGGTATTTTTTCATCCTAATCCCCCCCCACCTGCCTCCCACGCATGAAGGCATGACACCCCTCCCGGAGGCCAGTTTTTGGCCTAGCACACCTCTCTGCAGCCAAAATGGGCCATGGGGTGCTCGCATTGCATCCCCCTGCTCATGTGTGGCAGAGACCTGAATATCAGTTGACCGGCGGGAGGCGCACGTGCATGCATGGTGGAGCTGAGCTGGGTTCGGTGTGTTACCTGCGTGCCAGGACACACACACACAAATACCGAGAGGTGTTAGGGGTGTCTTACCCCCGCAGTATTTTTTTCCAGGGAGTAAATCATCTGTGTACCAAGTTTGGTTGGAATTGCTCAAGGCGTTTCAGAGTTATGCTTCAACAAACATACATACATACATACCTCCTTATTTATATATATAGAAGATTCTCATGGAAAGGCAGGATAGATGGTTAATGCTGACCATTACACCAAATTAGTTAAAATCACTTTGTTGACATTAAACTTATTCATAGCAATAGAGCAAAACTGGTTCTTTCTTCTGCACATTTGAAACTTTTGAAGATAAAGTGGTGACCTGAATCTTGTAATATACTCTTAGATATTGCTTACAGGTCTTATACACTGTACTTTGATCATATGCATTACATACATTATGCTATTCTGTAATGTATCTTGTTTTGTCTTAGCATTTCTGATCTCAGCTAATAGGGGTTATGCAGTAAAGCATGGTTGAGCAAACTATGATTAAACCATGGCTTAGCACAATGTGTGATGTCAGTTGCAGAATTTTTGTAGACATTTTGCTTTTGTAGACATTATAGTCAAATGAATAAATATGCGCAGAACAAAAGGAACAAAGCAGTACATACCGTTTTTCCCTGAAAATAAGACCCTGTCATATATTTTTTGAACCCTAAAATAAGTGCTTGGCCTTATTGCTATGCACTCAAATTGCGATTGGGCTTATTATCAGGGGATGTCTTATTATCAGGGGATGTCTTATTTTGGGGAAAACAGGGTAATTATTGAAGGTTCATTTTACTTTATTTCATTTTTAATTTAATTGGTTATTAATTGGTCACTTACAATATCAAAGACACAGGGATTCGAAAATTTGTTTCAAGATACTTTATTGTTGAACCAAGACAACATGAAAGTCACATGGAATGTAAAGGTATAGAGAGCTTTAGACTTATATTTATTATAGATTTGTAAACTGGCCTATTGCACATAAAACTCTTACAAATGCAAGTTCTTGGCAGGGTAAACTTCTCTGCTTCTCCTTTGCTTAAGAGGAAGAACTCAAGCAAAGAAAATAATTTAATTTACACTAACTACAGAGAAATAGCATTTTAGATTTGGTCATTCTAAGCCATTTCTATAAGGACTGAATGTCCCTGAACTTATATAGCAAGTAGCAAGTGATATTATGTAGCAAGTAAGGGCTTCAAGGCTTTGTACAAAAGGAAATACAGCTGACCTAGGATATCAACATCATTGAATAGTAAAACTAAGATAGCCACAACTTTATCAAGTGTAGACCAAGGGAGACCATTTAACATTCTTTCATGTTTCAGAACAGATAGAAAATGAATATAGTAGACAGCAGTATTTGCAAGAATAACTAAAAAAATAAAAGACAAGCTGATGGTTGTGACAGTGTTACTGAAGCCCCTATACAACACATCTGTACATGTGTCAACATTCACACATGGAGAAAGCGATGGGGTTTTTATTGTGCTGTTGTGATCATCATCATCATAGTGGTTTTCAACTCATTCTGGGGATGTGGGACTAAGGAGAATAGACCTATGAAACCTTCTTAAAGGTTGTTTTCATCTATACTTCTATGTAGTATAGATTAAAACAAGGTTTTTTTCATCTATACATCTATACCAGGGGTGTCAAACTCCAGCCTGCGGTGTGCTTAGATCTAGCCCACAGGGCTGCCCTAGAAACAGCAAAGGACTGGCCCGCAGTGCCTCTACCAACAAAAAAGGAGCTTGGGAGGGCCAGGCATGGCCCTCCCAGGCTCCGTTTTTGGCTGCAACGGCCTCCTGTTGCCCTCCACGTGCAGCTCCCACCAAGCTACATTTTCACTGGCAGAGGGCAACAGGAGGCCATCGCGGCTGTAAATGGAGCTTGGAAGCCCATTTTCGCTGCCAGAGCGCTCGGGCCACTACAAATGCTAACATGAGTGACATAAAGCTGGCTACCCTCACCCCGGCCCACGAGGTCAAACACAACCCTGATGTGGCCCTCAATGAAATTGAGTTTGACACCCCGATCTACACAAAGGAATATACTTCTAACAAAAGGCCAACATCCAATGAGGGAGCAAAGGATTTTAGAAACAAACCACTGACTTAAAAACTGGTGTGTCAACAGAACTCCGGCTTCCTAGACCATGTTTGTATTAACTACAAGAAGGACTACTGGAAAGGGATGGACTGCACCTCACAAGAACTGGAAAGAATATATTCAGAAAACAATTGGTTCATCTTATCAAAAGGGCTTTAAACTAAGATGTGGGGGGCAATCTTCATGACCTTTAGAACCTATTTCCAATGATGAAAGGATGGAAATCCCAGTTATAATGTAGGAAATATAAAAAACATACTCAAGACCCATGAAGGACTCAAATGCATATACACTAATGCTTAAAGTTTAGGAAACAAACAGGGTGAACTTTAAAGTATTAGTACACGAAGGCAGATATGATATAGTTGCCATTACTGAAATTTGGTGGGAAGAAACTTATGAGTGGAACGCACTGATGGAAGAATACAAACTATTCAAAAGAAACAGACCTAACAAAAGAGGAGGTGGAGCTGCATTATATATAAAAGATCACTATATCTCTACACAAAACTAAGGATGAAAACCTCCTAGAATCCATATGGGTCAATATAAAAGGGAAAAAATGACATTGCTATAGGTGTATACTACAGGCCACCCAACCAAGCAGAAGAAATAGATGAACTTTTTGCTAATCAATTAAAAATGTATGTAGGAAACATACCATAGTAGTAATGAGAGGCTTTAACTACCTTGATATCAACTGGGACACAAACTCTGCACAAAGTGGGAGATCAAACAGATCCCTAACCAACTTAGCTGACAACTTTGTCATCCAAAAGGTAGAGGAGAGAACTGTAAGAAAAGCTGTATTAGACTTAATTCTTACTAATAGAGAAGAAGTGATAGAGGGAGTTGAAATTGGGTGAAAGTGACGACGTCATTTTGGAATTCAATATAATGCAAACACAAGCAATAGAATATAACCCAATTAGTGTCTTATACTTTAAAACAGCTGATTTTAACAAATTCAGAAGGAGACTAAGGAAAAAAATCCATGGATAAAAATCCTAAAGGAGAAAATAACTCAAGAAGCGTGGGAAGCTTTGAAAAATATCATAAAATCCCAGTCCAACACAATACCACTAAAAAAGAAAAACAAGAAATCCAAAAAGAAACCAGCATGGTTGCACAAAGATCTCTCTGATAAACTGAAAGACAAAAAGGGTAAGTACAAAAAGTGGGAAAATGGACACATAACTAAGGCAGAATATCAGCAAATAGCCCGAATCTGCAAAGATGAAGTCAGAAAATGAACAAAGGCTTGAACAATGGGCCCTATCCAACATGAAATTTAATGTGGAGAAAAGCAAGTTTTTATACCTAGGCAGGAAAAACCAAACCAGAGGCGTAACCTGGCTCAAAAACAGTAACTGTGAGAGGGATAGCACTAGCAATAGCGCTTAGACTTATATACTGCTTCACAGTGCTTTACAGTCCTCTCTAAGCAGTTTAGAGAGTTAGCATATTGCCCCCAACAATCTGGGTCCTCATTTTATCGACCTCAGACGGATGGAAGGCTGAGTCAACCTTGAGCCAGTGAGACCTGAACTGCCAAACTGCTGGCAGCCGGTGATCAGGAAAAATAGCCTGCAGTACTGCATTCTAAACATTGTGCCACTACAGTTCTTGGAATCCTAGTGGACAATCACTTAAACATGAGCCAGCAGGGTGCAGCACAGCCAAAAAAGCTAATATAATGCTTGGTTGTATAAACAAAGGCATAGAATCAAAATCACGTGAAGTATTAGTACCACTTTATAAACCCTTAGTAAGACCACACCTCCCAGTTTTGTTCACCACATTTCAAAAAGATGTTGAGACTTTGGAAAAAGTGCAAGAAAGCAACTAAGATGAATAAGAGCCTGAAGATAAAAATATATAAGAACGGATGCAGGAATTGGGTATGGCCAATACAGTCTAGAGAAAAGAAGGACTGGGGGTGACATGATAGCAGTATTCCAGTATTTGAGGGGCTGCCACAAAGAAGAGGAGGGTCTGTTAGGGTGTGTGTAAAAAGTATTTGTTGCTTGTGCAACGAGCAGAGCAGAAACACACAGGGAAGGAGATAAAGGTGCAGCTCGTGTGAGAAAAATACTTTATATACAAGATAATAAGCAGTCTCAGTGTAGGTAAAACAGTCCAAGGTCATAAACAGTAATATCAGTCCAGTAATTATCTTCCCTTACCAAAGCAAACAGACTTTAGTAACTCTTGGTATACAGTACCATATAACAATCCAGTCTAACACCAATCAGCAGAAAGACGCAGGAAGCAACAGGAACAATCAGGAACACTCAGGAACAAAGAACGCTTCTCTGCACTGCTTGTTTATGCACTGTAGCCTAATTACAGGGTTCAGCAAACCCTGATTACGTGGCTCAGTTGTTTCTTAAAGAAACAGATATATTGCCTGACCAACAGGTTAGGAGTAAGCTACAAGCTGAACCTAACAGGGTCAATGTATTTTCCAAAGCACCAGAAGGCAAGACCAGAAACAATGGATGGAAACAAATCAAGGAGAAAAGCAACCTGGAGTTAAGGAGAAACTTCCTAATGGTAAGGACAATTAACCAGTGGAACAGCTTGCCTTCAGAAATTGTAGGTGCTTCATCACTGGAGATTTTTAAGAAAAGAGTAGACAGCCACGTATCTGAAATTGTATAGGGTCTTCTGTTTGATTAGGGGGCTGGATTAGAAGACCTTTCAGCTCTATTCTGATTGATGGTTGCAGTTGACAGCCAGCAGAGAAGGAAGATTCTCAATAGCCTCCCACCAGCCAGTACGCTCCCATAGAGAGGGGCTCCTCCGGGTGCCGTCGGCCAAACAATGTCGACTGGCGGCCCCTAGGGGGAGAGCTTTCTCTGTGGGGGACCTACGATCTGGAAAGAGCTCCCCCCAGAGATAGGGAGGATCCCGGATCTGCGCACCTTCCGTCGTGCGCTTAAGACTTCTTTATTTCATCAAGCTGGCCTGGCCTAAATCTTCTCCCCTTTTTAAATGTAAATTTTAATTTGTTTTTAAATTATGGGGTATTTTAAATTTGTTCAGCCAAATTATTTAATTCGTTTTTATTCTATTTTAAATTTTTGTATTTATGTGTTTTATCCTGTGGCTGTTCACCGCCCTGAGTCCTTCGGGAGTAGGGCGGTATAGAAATTTAATAAAATAAAATAAATAAAAATAAATCTGCAAGTTATACACGAAACCAATAAATTGTAATCTATGCCGCATGTCACTGCAGAACTGTCTACCAATTTGACCTGAACCCAAATGGGACAAATAATGCTATGCAAAATAAGCAACTTACAAGTAACTTATTGTTTTACGTATTTCATTTACTAACACAAAGCTATGCTAAAATATATTTGATTTGTACATAGCTCCAGCTTTCTAATGGAATGGATCATCCTGAAAGTATGACTTGTCAATTTTATATCAAAAACCTCACAAGGTGGAAGCTTCATGAATTGTTGCTTTGATACTTGCATATTAAACAATGACTAACAGAATTAGCTTAACTAGTTTGAATTTTTCTAATAAAGCTCTAAACAATCAAATTCAATGAACTGAAGTTCTAGGTTCTACAGAAGGTAAAGTCTAGATATTCATGCCATTGATGTGAAAGCAATGTTTATCTTGGGATCAACAATTTGGATTATGGCTCTAAATAGGTCATCAAAAATAGTCAAAGTGCAGTGGAATTTATATAAAATATCTAATTGCACAAAACTAAATTTTATAAAACTAATTATATGCATTCTTTTTTGTAGACATTTTCTGCTCAGTCCACACAGCACACATATATAAATTTTAATCCAAACAAATAGGCTGGATATACTTCTACAGTATCATGGCTCTTATCCCTTTAAGACCTGTAAAGACAAACATTCCAATAGTGCACCTCTCCCCTCACCATACAGTAGATGGAAAAATAGTACTTCTTAAATACTTTTGGACTATGGATTTTTTAACAAGACTAAAGTGATATCCTTCTGAAATACAGAACTTCAAGGATTAATTGGTTTAATAATCGTATCTCTGGACGGTATGAGTTCCGTAAAAGTTATCATTTTTGAAGGTTATCTCTTACTAGATTTACTATACATTCCATTCCTAGATTTTAAAATTCTTTACAGAAAAAGAAAACCTAAATCCCTGTCCAGTTTTGAAATTTATCTACACATTAAACATTATTTGGGAATATTCTGGATTATATAAATTTATTTGCTTCTTTATGTACCCTGTTTCTCAAGGCAATGAACAGAAATTGAATAAATGGCTATTTTGTTCTTCTATAAACACTATAAGACATACTTGATTAAAAGTCTCATCCCTGATAATAAAATCCCACTGATTTTATACAGTGAAATAGCTAGGGGCCTAAGCCGATAGGACTTCTACTGTGTAAGCTTTCTTCCACTGAATGAGAACAATGATCAAACATGTTCCTCCATAAGGCTACCTAATTCATTTCAGAGGAAGAATACAAGTGTGTTATGTTTAGTGGAGTGTTATACTCCACTCGTATAACAACGAGCTCCTCCTGAATGTTGCAAGATTAATGCATGTTCTTCCCACTGAGAAGGAACAAGAAGATAACAGCAATTAATTTCAACCTTCAAGATTTCCATTTTCTTAAAAAATCAGAAGTTTTCCATGACTTTTCTTTTAATATTGGATAAAGCCGTGGCCGGTGCTGAAAGGATTATGACATCTGTGCAGGAGGAACGCTTAAGATGATGGCATGAAAGGCATGTCTGAGAATGGTGAGTTTGTGGAAACAGAGTCTGATTTTGTTTGGGGTGTTTTTAGAATGCTTTCAGCAATTAAAGTCTCATTGGGAAATATTCTGATTTTGCCATTTTGACCTGGTTTAGGTTCCTTCACAGGTTCAAGAAACACCACCCTTTTGCCACTGCTAGCTTTCTTCTCATCTAATGGAAGATTGAGGGGTGTGTTGGAGGTTAGCATGGATGCATGAGATGTGCTATTTTGGTTTAATTGCCTTTTCCTTTTCTTTGACTTGCACTTACAAGGACAGGGCGTCAAGTAGAGGTAAAGAAGTACCAAAATAATACTGGCTACACAAGCTGCAAGAGTTGTAAAAGCAGTGTTAAATGTTTCATGTGAGTAAGATTTGTCCACTGTGAAATTGCTGACATTTATTCTTACTTCAATTGTTTCATTCAGTAATCTTTTCTTATTTATTGCAATGCAGGAATAAAGTCCAGCGTCTTCATACTGAGCATCATCTATTTCCAGGCTCCCATTATGAAATACTTTGAACTGTTCAGTTGTCTTTCCTGGCTCTAAAACTTGATTATCTGGGCTGATCCAAATAAAACTAGTCCCAGCATCACTGATTTTGGTATCACAGGGTACTATAATTCGCTCACCAATTTGTGCTTCGTGAATAAAACCAAAGGCATGGAAAGAACCATTAATGGTGCTTTCTGAACAATTTAAATAATTATTCTGCAATAAAGGCAGTTTTTGGGAGTCTTTATTACATGTGTATTCAGTCTTGAAGTTTTCCACTGAAGTAAAATGTCGAAGGTACCACAAGTTCAGCATAGAATAAAGTATGCAGTTACAATGAAATGGGTTTCCGTGAAGATAAATTCCACTTAAGTGTCGGGCTGGTACTAATCTCATGCCATTAACTGGTATTGACTGGATCCGATTATAAGAAAGATCTAAGAATACAAGTTCAGAGAGCTTGTATTTCCCAGTATAGAGTTCAATTGGGAAGTGTGTGAGAGAGTTGTAACTTAAATACAGCTTTTGCAGCGTAGGAATTCCTCCAAAAGCAGCAGAATCAACCTGTGCAATATGGTTGTTATAAAGCAACAGAACCTCCAGCATTCTCAGTTCCTGAAATATAGGACTGCCCAATGACTTCAAATTGTTGGATGACAGGTCTAGGTACTTGACATTTGGAACAACTGAGAAACTTCCAATAGAAATACTGAAAATGTTGTTATGATTGAGGATGAGGGTGTTCAACTTCTCAAGCAGCATGGGTATCCAGTCTTGATCCAAAATCCCAATTTTGTTGTGACTCATATCCAGTCTTTTTATGTGCTTGAAAAGAGTTGATGGCACCCTTGAGAGGTTTCTGCTGGTACAGCTCATAATGTCACCGGCACAAATGCAAGTGGTGGGGCACATTAAAGAGGCACTACAACATACACTTACAGTGAAAATTAAGAGGCAACCCAACCTCTTGTAGTTCCCATGAAGAGAGAGAATAGTGTGCCAAACAGAAGACATGACTGTGTTTTAGCCGTCTTCCAATTTTCCTTGCCACCCTTTAGGCATGTAGGTCACTTTGTACCAATCACTGTTAAGACAGAAAGGGAGAGAGATACACTTTTTTAAAAAAAAAAAGGATATTAATATATAAAAGCATTAACATTTTACCATATTCACCCAAAATGCTCATAGATTTATGATCACTGCTTTTTGTTGGGATTAATGGACAGACAATTAAAAAAGAGTCACAGACAAATATTTTTATATATATGTTATCTTAGTACTCATCATTAATTGGTTCTGGGAGGCGTGATCTGGGACTACTAAAAACAAGGAGTAGCAAACAAATTTTTCCTGTAAGGAATAATGTAGAGAGTCACAAGGCAGCCAACACAGACAAGTTCTAGCTTGTGCGTCGAGTACCAAACAAACAATGAGCACCGGGACACATCAAAATGTGCTGAGTACCAAATTTGATGAGTTTCAAAGCAATTGAATACCAAGGTACCACTGTATTATCACTGTTGCAAGACCAGAGGTGAAATGCTCCCGGTTCGGACCGGATCGCCTGATCCGGTAGTGATGGCGGCGGGTGATTCAGAGAACCGGTAGCAAAAATCCCTGCACCCATCCCCCATGCCCAGCTGAGCCGCGTGATCATCAGATGCTGTTTTTTTTACTTTTAAAAGCATTTTTTCTACAATCTCTTCAGCCGAAGAGGTTGTAGAAAAAAAAATGCCTTTAAAAGCCTCTGGCGATCCCAGCTGTGTTGCCTGATCGTCAGAAGCTTCTAAAAGCATTTTTTTCTGCAACCTCTTAAGGTTGTAGAAAAAATGCTTTTAAAAGTAAAAAAAAAGTTGGTCACGCCCACCCAGTCACATTACCCCCACACACTAAGCCACGCCCACAGAACCGGTAGTAACAAATTTTAGACTTCACCCCTGTGCAAGACTATTGTTGTATATGAACAAAAATGAAAAGACTTGAAATATCCACAATAGAAGAATGGTTGATGAAGATGATAAAAGTAGGAAAGATGACAAAATTAACTTACAGACTTAGAAAAGATGAACTATTACATTTATTAGTGACTGGAAAACATTTAAGAGCCTGAGTGGCATAGGAGGCTAATGCCTCCTACTAAGGCAGCATTTAACATCCAGCTGCCTGCAATTACTGCGAGTTCAATTCTCACCAAGCTCAAGGTCGACTCAGCCTTCCATCCTTTCTAAGGTGGGTAAAATGAGGACCCGGTTTGTGGGGGCAATAAGCTGACTTTGTATAAAATATACAAAAGTAGGAAAGCTATTGCTTAATGCATTGTAAGCCGCCCTGCGTCTCCGGAGAAGGGCGGCATATACAAATATATAAATAAATAAAATAAATAAATAAATAAAAATTATGGATTTTTTTCCCTGAAAAATAAAAAGAACTTGTGATTTATGGGCTTGTCAATTAGAAAGGATAGCTTATGGAAGATAGAAATTATGATGTATCCTTAGAGAGGGAGGTAAAATATAAATGCATTTATAGCCATAGTCAAAAAGATTGGAAGCTACTTCTTTAAAATCTTTTCTTGTTTTTTCTTTCTCTACTTTCTTTTTCTACTTTCACATTCACTATTCTTCTATATTTTCTGTTTCTTTTTTTAATATTTGTATTGCTTTTATCATTAATCTTTTAAAATAACAATTATATTTAAAAAGTTTATTATCACTTTTTTTTCCTTTATGCCCATCCTTCACTCCCATGGGAAAATAGGTAGAAAATAATTATACAGCTGTCCTCACTAAGCAACTCCCTTATTCATCAATATTAAATTACTAACAATGCTAGAAGTTAGCATTGGACATGCTAATATGAGGAAATATACCTCATGATGTCAGACATGGTTGCATTCATATAGAAGGAAATCATTAATGTGGTATCTCAGATATGGGTCAACTGGATCAAACGTGTGGACTTGGTGTTCAAAATGCCAACCACAAAAAAGTTGTAGTGCTTGATCCACTAATGGTCCGTTAGAAAATTTTGGTGGTCCACAGAAACATTATTTGCATTTTTTATATTGCACTAAATCAAGGGTCCTCAAACTATGGCCTCTGGGCTGGATACATGCAATGAACGTTTGTGTTGCTGCAGAGTTTCCACCTTCAGGGTCTTTTTGTGCGGGTTGGAGGGTTGAAATATATTCTATGCATAAGTAAATCCATTTTTAAATGGATTTAAAAATGATACTAATTCATCTGTTAAAGCCTAATGCATCAGATTTATTTTTAAAATACAAAGTTAGTTTAGATCCTGAATCCTCTGAAGTGGATCATAATAAATAAATAAGGAAAAACAACAACTGAAGTATACTTCCATTTCTAATTCTTCTGTTGACAAAATCAAACAACCTTTCCAATGAGAAGCAAATAGTATTTTTGCAGTAAATGTCTATGGAGATTCTCAATTATCCAGATCTTTGGGACTATCTTTGCAGTAGTTATCATATTAGAAACCTAATTCAGTTTACTGTGATGAGATACATGATTTGGTGAAGTTTAATAAGAATTTCATCAGTTGAAATACAAATTAAAAGTGTTAACATTTGTTTTATCATTGTGTAATTCATTTTCCATAGCTGTTGTTCTTTACAATGCTATCACCCAATTGGAAAAAAATGACCTGACCATTTTTTTTCCTAAGTACTATACTTTAATGCTGTTTCATTGAAATAAATGAATTTAATGCTGTTTCATTCAAATTCCCACTGTTGCTTCTCTTTTCTACATTCAACTTCTAATCCATTTATTCACACAATTTTTTTTTAAAAAAAATTATTAAATTTCCAAAGATTCCAAAGAAACATAATACACAAAGCAAGAAAAACACACACACACACATACAAATATATATATATATATATATATACACACACACACACACACACACATATATATATACACATATACAACCAAAAACAAACATATCAAAATTTCAATACTAATAACAACTTTTCTGCATTGGTATCTCTAACCTATTTAACCTCTTTACACAAATTCTACTTCTAAATATCTCTATCTTAAACTTACTTATTTAAATTATCTTGATTTCTATTTACAATTCAATCTCACAACATAAACATCCCTTAAATTTTATGTTTACTCTCCAGCCAGAATTACCATTTATTAAATAGTATTCGGTGTCCTCCCTCTCCTTCATTTCCATAGATAATCTGTCCATCTCTGCACATTCATTTTTTTTTATTATGATTTGATCTGGAGGGGTGTCTGGTTGTTTCCAATTTTGTGCTATCACAATTCTACTTGCCCTTAGTATGTGTAATATGATATATTGTATACTTGTCTGCATTTTCCCTTCCAGAATACCCAGGAGAAACAGTTTCGGCTTTATCTTCTGCCCTGTTATTTCATCCAGCCATTTTTTAATCTTGCCCCAAAATTTCCTAATCTTAGGACAAGTCCACCACATGTGGTAGAATGTCCCTTGTTTGTGTTTACATCTCCAACAATTCAGAGACCTATTCAAGAACATCCTGGCCAATCTCGCTGGTGGCAAATGCCATCAGTAGAACATTTTGTAAAGATTTTCTTTATAAGCAGCTGACATTGTTAGTTTGTAATTTCTCTCCCATAATCTATCCCATTGATCCAAATTAATATTATGTCCAAAATTTTTTGCCCAACTAATCATTGTTTCTTTCACGGTTTCCTCTTCCATTTTAAATTTCAACAAAAAATTATACCTTTTTGTGATCATTTTTTTAACACAGTTTTTGATCTCATTAGTTCTGAGTCATACTTTACCAACAGTCTATAAATAAGGCCTAGTGAATTTCTAAATTATTCACCATTGTGAAGTAGGAGTTTTAAAGAGTTTCAAAATATTCTATCTTTGCCTTATTAATAATTAAATCTTTACTAAGCAAATTCATTAATGTTCCTCTTTGTGAAATCTTACAAAATCATTAATAAGTAATGTATTGAATATACAAGATAGAGGGAAAAAACCAGTTCAGTATCTCCCCTGTCATATTGTTATATATCAAAACATAAAATAACAATATGACAGGATATAGAATTAATGATTTCGTTATCTTTTCGACATTTAAAAACTTGGGATAATTTTTTTTCTGTAATGTTCAAGATAATGTTCTGGTCCTTTTTAAAAATATTGATTTACTACCTGATCTAGGCAGGAATATTAGACATAACAATCCCCTCCATTTAATAATAAAAGGCTTATGCCAGAAGAAAGAACTAATAATAATAATTTAAAATTACTTTGATATAACTGTTCCTTATCATTCAAAAACAGGATATTAGAAAATAAATGATAATCTCACATAATAAGAAAAAATAATGGTGTGCTGCTGTTTTCAAAATTTTTGAGTGGTGTTCTATTCAATACCATAGGATGATATACTAAAGACAAAAGAGAAGACTCCATTTTTCCATTTCCAAGTACTCATATGTTTGTAAGATCCCAAAATGTACTTGAGTCACCAGAATGCCAGAGAGAGAGACCCAAGAACAGGCTTGGAAAAAATAACAGCTTTTATTTGTACAAAGAAGAGCTGGGTAGACCATTCCACAACATACAAAGAGCATGCAGTGAAAGGCCACATCTTGGGGAAGGTATGGCGTCATTTTATACCTTCAGAGACATCAGCTTAGTACCCAATTCTGCCCCCCCGGTCCAGGCCTTCCTTTGGCAGTGCAGCAAGGAACAGGGGGCTGAGAGCTTAGCAACACAAGTATTTGCCTGATGTAATCCTGTCAGGCCATGACATACCTCGCACCAGGCACTGAGTTGTACACAAAAACAAGATAACAAGAGTTAGATCACTGGTAGAAGTAAAGGCAATTCTAATTCTTACAGGAGCAAAGCAATTCTTACAGAAGCAAAATAGCAAGTTACCTATTCTACTATTATTATGTCCCTTCATTTTCTTCACACTGATAAGATACATTCTACTTACCAACAGTCTGAATTTTATAGAGAATTCTGTTTTATAAGTAGCATTTTCATTATAGCAAATGTGCTTTGATTCCCAATGTTACATATTGTATCAGGCGCTTT